TATATATAAATTAGTCGAAAATCACTTTACAAAATTTTTTTTTCATTTAACACTGTGTTTCATCAAAAAAAAACTAATCAGAAATGAATGATCAAATTAATAAAACTTCAATTTATATCAAAAATTAAACTGCAAGGAGTCACAAATGTCTTAACCACTATAAACTTTCACACATTTGTGGAATATGCTGACACTATTATAAAAAAAAAATATTTAGAATTGATTACCTCTACTTTCTACGAAATCATTTCCAATTTTTTGTTTAATAAACATTCTTGGTTTGCATGTGAAATTATTTCAAATTTTTCTTGTAGGCATTGTATTCATTTTTTAGAAATATTATTATATGCAGGTGCTGTTTTAAGGATGGACTAATTCAGTGTAAAATCATCAATATTTTTATCTTTTAATTCCCATATATATTTTGATAGCGTGGCGTCTTTTGAATACTTTTTATTTTTAAAGGGTTGCTTATGATTGTCAAAACGTTTTTCCCATTCACTATCTGTTATGCAAATATATTGTTTATCAAGTACATTCTTAGACGAAACAACACATTCATGAATCACATTTTTTTGATAAACAACTTCCACTCATTAGACAATTGTTTTTTTTTTGTTTACAGTCACAATTTTCTGTAGTTTTTTCATTTAGTATTTCTTTTTTGTTTAATAAAGTATTTCGACCTTTTATAATTCTATCCATATTTTTTGTACAACTGTAGCTAAGTATTTCGATTGAAAATTTTATGTAATTTGTTAGTGGGCAAAAAATGCTTATCGACCAATTTTAAAAACACCTTTTCTATGTTAGTGGAAGCATTTTTGCTATATGGGGGGTTGAAAAAAATTGTATTTCTAGTTCTATTTGTATTTGAATATATATATATATATATATATATATATATATATATATATATATATATATATATATATATATATATATATATATATATATATATATATATATATATATTTATATATATATATATATATATATATATATATATATATATATATATATATATATATATATACATATATATATATATATATATATATTAGGGTGGCCCTTAGCTATATTGAAATTTTCGAAAGTGAAAATGTTGCACCACCCAACCCCTGATATTGTTCCAATCAACCAAATAAGGAACTGTGCAAAATTTCTGCTCAATCGGAAAACTCCAAGGCGACCCTCAAACGCCTTTAAGTTGGAACATAATATGCGTAATGATTAATTCCGTTTAAAAGCGACATGTCTTCTCTATATCGACTATGTTCATAATTACTACACAAAAAAGCTATAAGGCAAAAGCATTGTACAACAGTAACGTCCATAGAATCAAAACATAATGTGAACAAATGAACCTTAAACATTACTTTACGGTCTCCGGCAACAATCTGTAAAACAAATTGTTTCTCAGTTTCGTCTTTGATGAGAATGTTATTATAATCCTGAATGAGTTTGACTCGTCTTTCCGCAACATCATTCACTACCACTATTTTCTTAAGTTTTTCAATTTCACTTTTGTAACCAGAATCATCCTTCCATATTGAAGGGTTTTTGTTCAGAAAATCGGTGCTAATCCAGTAGAAACGGACGTAAAAAAGACGTCTTTTAAACGTCTTATAAACTTTTTTTAACGTCTTTTAAACGTTCAAAAGACGTCTTTTTTTGGTCAATATTCTGGCCCACTGGGGACAGAATATCTGTTGAAGAATGTTTTTGTACCAGTAGTTAACAGAGATGAAAACTCGATGTTTGGAAAGGAAGAAAAGTCTTTTTTTGGTAAGAATGTATCTCTTGACTTGATTTTTTTCTTCCTCCGCTTCTTCATCTTTGTCGAGCAAAACTTGGCCATATTTGCCTTAACTGCTGGTGGAACATTGTCATCAAATAAGGTGAGAGCAAAAGTTTCGGGAACTAAGTACCAAAGGAGGTTGGAAAATTTCTTTGCAGCAGCCTAACTGACTTTTGGATCTATGTCTCGGTAATTAATCAGTTGGCACATTAATAGGAAATCATGATATAGTGCTGTAATTGCTTCTGATGAAAGAAACCTGGCTTGAACGTACACTGGAGCAAGGAACATACATATTCTTCTTAAAAAGTTCTTCTCCGTATGTGATAGCTGAAATTGATTTTGATGCAGGTATATTTTGAAGGCATGAATTGCCTTTGTCATCCATCTAGCATGACTTACAGCTCCTGGTATACGAAACGATATTCCGTTCATCGGAATGCCGCCAAGAAAGATCATTGTTAACTCCCACAACTCTCAGTAGTCATCTCTCTGCTGTTTTGTGTAGAAAGGTAGTGTTCAACTAATCCAAGAACGGTAGAGCGGACACCATTAAGCATTTCATTTCTACCAGCTATATAAACGTTCTTATCAAGTTTTGTCCTGACTTCTCTAAACCTTTTGAAAAGCGTCATGTCTGGGAAAGGAAATACACCCATCAGTGACTTCAAAAAGTCAAAGATGTTGTGACGGCAAGGGAGGTTCAATAGATCACGATTGAAAAAATTTTCTAGGTTTGTACAGACATCATTTACTTGACCTACGTTGCTTGTTGTCGTATCACAGCAAATTGCTTGGATTTTGTCGGTTAAACCCCACTTCTCCACTGCTTGATAAGCAGCCATAGCTTGCTCTTCACCTGAAGATGTTTGAATTACAAGGACTCCCAACAATTGCTCCTTGCTTTGAAAAGTTACTATTGTTGCCAGTCTATCTACTTTTTCAACACCAGTGAGTGCTGGGAGCAGCTTTCCATCCCAGTATAGCACTAAATCTTGGCATACATTTAGGTTAAAATTTTTGCTGAATTTTTGAGTGTCTTCCTTCTCTAAATTTTTTTCTAAGGCGTTGAAAAGAAGTGCGATTTATCACCAGGTTTTTAGTATCACATTCGAAAGCTTCTGCAGCAGCCATTAATATGTAAACCCCATTTCTGTTAGTAATTTTGCACCTATCAAAAACTTTTGCGTGACGGGGAGTGAAAAATAGTAATGTAGTTGGAACTTTTGCTGCTGCTCCTGCAGTTGATATTTGCTGAACAATAACAGGTGAACTTTCACTGTTGTCACCACGATCAATGTCTTCACTGCTTGATGCTGAATAATCAGTTGTTGATGTAGAAAGAGTACCAAAATGTTGTTCCATTTCCTAATAAGTCCTTTTTCTCCGGGCAGTTTCCATTGCAGTGCGCTTCAGTGCCCTTTCTTCCTTGTGTTTTAGTTCCTGATCACGCCAAGCATAGACCATGGTCGTCAAAAATTTTGAAACTTTATGGACAATAAGGGTCGACTTACAGTTCTCTGAATACGCTAAAATTTTGTATAGATCATTATTTTCATGATTGGAATAAGAAATGGAGTTGGGAGCTAAACAATTTGAAAGTTTTAAAATAAGGGCCACCCTAGTATATATATATATATATATATATATATATATATATATATATATATATATATATATATATATATATATATATATATATATATATATATATATATATATATATATATATATTTAAAACGTAATTTTTTGTTTGAAACTGAAATGAATTTAATGATTTTGTCATATTTAAATCGTCTTTCAGAAAAGAGTTCCATATCTTCTATAAGTTATACTATAGTCTGTGTATTTGCATACGTTTTAAAGTAATTTAAATGTGTTACTTTGATTTGTTTTTAAGAAATACTTTTTATTTAGATTTTTATTAAATTTATTAATAAAGATTTTGGTTGTTAGGCGATTGGTAAATTTAAACATAAAGTTCAAATGTTGGTTAATATAAATTAAGTATATGTTAATTACTTTGATATCTATCATTAAAGGTTTAGTGTGGTCTTCCAATTTTTTGTTTTATATAATTCTACAAACATGTTTATGTAAACAAAGAACATAAACATGTTTTTTAAAGTTTATTTGGTTGACAACTTGCCCACTCAATATTTGTATATGTAGCAATGAATTAAACAGAAGTATATAAACTTTAGACTTATATACTTCTTTAAAACAAACATTAGTGTTATGTAACGCAAATTCGATACATAATACTAGTTTTTTAGTGTATGTACTTTATATGTAAAAGCCATGATAAATCTTGATCGACATTAACTTCTAAAAAGGTTATAGCAAATTTTGATTTTTTAATATGTTAATAATAAGTTTAATAATAAGAAGGTTTTTATCTTGCGTTTTTTTATAAAACAATGTATTCTGTATGTATATAATGTATATAACACAAACTTGTGTTTTTTGCAAAACAAGGGAAAGTTCATTTGACCTAAAACAATCATTTACTTTCTCTAATGCAATGTTTATGTGAGCATATAGTTGTTTAATATTGCTATTAGATATAAAAAGATTTGTATTGTCTGCAGACTTGATAGAGTTTAGTTTTACTGATGCATTTTTAGAATTTTTAACGTAAATTAAAAATAAGAACGGTCCTAGGAACAATCTTTGAGACACTTCACACAAAACATTCAGTATTCCGGAATTCTTGTTTTGAATATATTGTTTTCTATTAGACAGATAACTTTTTATCCAATGATATAATTTATTGTATATCCTGTACCATTTTAACTTTTCTAACAGAATAAAGTTACCAACAGTGTTTAACGATTTTTTAGATGTAAGCAATAAAGTTATGTATATATAAACATATATATATATATATATATATATATATATATATATATATATATATATATATATATATATATATATATATATATATGTATATATATATATATATATATATAAAACGACTAAACTTTTTTTTTTAATACTTTTTAACAATTATACTGCTATTATTTATTTTTTATTACTTTTATTCAAATTATTAAATAAATACACTGTAACAGTTTATTCAGCTTTCAGGTGTTTAAGCACAACCTGCTTTTTTTTTCACATCAGTAAATAAAATAAAAATAAAATGTACGTTTTTTAAAGAACTGTACTGTTACAGTTTTCTTAGCTTTCAGGTGTCTAATTAGAACAAATTTCTACTTTCACATCAGCAAATAAAATACTACTAAAGTGAAAATACATTTCACTGCATGTTAAAAGGTAATAAAAAAAAATGCAGGTGAAAAAAGTTTTCCGAATAGTCATTTTATATTGCTTTTATGCAATACAGGTATATTTTTGTATTTATAAAAAAATATTAAAATAAAAATGAATAAAAATCATAATATGTAACTGTTTTAATGTTTCTTTTTTTTTTCCTTATTTATCACTCTTTTATAGTTTAAAGTTAAATTTTAGTTATCGGAATCTTCGGCACAATTGAAGATTTATCTTGAAACATTTAAAGTATCCTATCCTAAAATTTTGATGCTGATTAAAGATAGAGAGTTTGAGATATGTTTTGGTGCTGAATTGCTTAACTGTTTTGTATCAAAAACTTTGACTTTTGATAAGACAAACACAATTAGTTTTCCTAAGGGTTTATCAGATAAAGTGGATAACCCGTTAATTTTAAAATCACCATCATCAAAGGTAAATACGAATTTCAACTTTTTTTAATAAAAAATTAACAAATAATTAGTATTTTAACCTCTCTTTATAAACCCCTAGTGAGCAAACAACATGGTATCAACCAACGTTGATTTATGTTGGGTTAAGTTAGGTAACATCAAACAACTAAATCTAAAGTTGTAATAACGTTGGTTACAATAGCTTTATTTTTTATCATAACTCCAACATTTTAATAGCTTTAGTTACAAAAATGTTTTTTTTTCATGAGAGATACTAGATTATTATAACGTTGGTTAAAATAACATTACTTTTTGTAACATTGCTTAAATCAACAATTTTTTTCGTAACATTGGAAAATCTAATGTTACCCACCCTTTCAATTTGCAACGGTAATCCAACGTTGTTCCAATGTTAGTGTGCCCACTGGGCCATTACATAACTTTAAATTTACACAATGTTTGTTGGGGATTGGGTAAAACCGGTGTATGTTTGTGAGTGTGTGGGGACAAAACCTAGTTGCATTTTAATCATAAAAAGTTTTCTAGAAAAAAAACTAAGAAAACAAATATTATAGTTATCTTCTTTTTATTGAAAACATTTAATATTAGATTTGTTCATATTTTTGATATTATGTTACTAAGTGGACGAGTAATATTAATCCATGAAAAATGAGTCCGCGGAATGTTTTGTTGTTTTTTGTTGTTAAGTTTAATCAAAAAGATATATTATAGTCTAAGTAGTAGAATAATTTACAATTATATATTGCGTATTCATCATAATTTAAGTTAACCAATCATATTCCACTTTTTAAAAATGTCATTTAATAGTATTGTTTCAAAACGTCTTAAGCAATCAAAGCATTGCAAGTAAAAGATGGAAAGTTATAAAAATTAGTAAACGGTATTAGGAGATCGTTTTTTGTTTTTTTTATCTAGTGCTTTTTGAACGATTAATCGTAAAGTTCTAGATTAGAATTAAGTTAGCAAATATCTAAATAAGAAGTATTGGTAGCATTTTTGCCATATTTACAAAAAGGTATTCTTTTTGAGGTAGAAGGTATATTTATATTATTTGAAACGCTTTTAAATTAATTAAATTTGATCTATTGAGACGCTTCTAAATTAAAAAAATATTATTTATATCCTGGTTTATCCTTAATTTATTTTATCACTCGTTAAGTTAGTTTTCCTTTCCAGTTCATAGTTGGTTTATTTTTAATTTTGTCTTTAAAACAGTTTGATTCTTTCAACGTATTTTTTTAAACATGTAAATTACCAATATATGCAAAAAAATTATCAGGTTTAAGAGGTATTTGTTTGGGGCTTTGTGATTTGACAAAACTTGACTTTTTCTAGCCCCTGTCATGTAATTCCTTTTTATAAGTTACGACTGTAATTTTTTTTTTGGCAAAAGTAAATAAAAAAATAAAAAAATATTCTATATCTCCATATATAAAATGTAGAAATTTGTTTTGTAATCCAGCAAAATCTAAAACAAAATAAAATCCTGGAGAAATATAATAATTTCCTTGCTGAAAAAACTTTTTTTCAGAAAGTAACAAACGTATAAAACGTATAGCTAAACAGGGAAGCGAAAAAATAAGATTTAAACAAGTAGTCGAAATTGTTTTAAACTTTGGTATTTATATATATATATATATATATATATATATATATATATATATATATATATATATATATATATATATATATATAAATATATATATATATATATATATATATATATATATATATATATATACATATATAAATATATATATATATATATATATATATATATATATATATATATATATATATATATATATATATATATATATTTATATCTGAATATTTATATATTTGAGCTATTTAAAAATCGATTGCTTTACGTAGATTGTGATTTTTGTTGTGATTCCTTCTTGATACTTCGAACAGTTGTTAAAAACTTATCCTGACAACTTTTAAGAGAGTATTCGACTAAGACGCCATTTTGACTTGCGGTTGGAATAATTATATTACTGAAGACTGTACCACAGTTTAAACGGTTTTCGGCTTTATTCTTGCTCTAGCTAGTCTATTATATCGATATGACTTAATTTAAACTCACAATTGCAACTGAATTTATAAATATTACAAAAATGCCAAAATGAGTTTACGACCACATTTTATATATATATATATATATATATATATATATATATATATATATATATATATATATATATATATATATATATATATATATATATATATATATATATATATATAAAAGAAAGACCAACTTAGCAAAAGACCAACCTAGAAAAAGCAACCTATTTATTCTTAATTTTTTCATGTTTTTAAAAAATGCTAACATCATTATTAAAAAATAATCAAAAAGCATAAAAAAATTAAACATAAAAAGTATGAAGACTCAGCGCGACCTAAATATTTTTTATGTTTTTCATGTTTTTGAAAAAGATACCCATAAAAAATATGGAGGATGTAGAGAACTTAAACAATTCAACTCAAATGAATTTAAATTTTTCAAAAATTTTCAAAAAAGAGTTTTATTAGATACTATTTATTGACTTTTAAACAGTTTGTGTTTTGGTAATATTCATTTCGATTTTTTTCATTTTCAAAAACCCGTGAAACCATTTTCTGTATCGAACGCAAAAAAATTGATTTGTGCATTGGTTTTACCAAATATGCAAATTGGTTTTTCACTAACCATTGATTTAAATATTGGTTAATGAAGTTGAAAATAAGTTGAAATAAGTTATTTTTTCAATCTACTTTTGGTTGATTTAAATTTGTTGTTGTTTTAAACGGTTGTTTTAAACTTAAATATTATATAGTTTAAATTGTTAAATATAAATTTAAATTGTTAAATATAAATTAAATTGTTGTTTTAAACTTAAATAGTGATTCTCTAACACTTTATTTTTCTTCGAAAGGTAAATTGAATATTTTTGTTAAAAAATATATATAAAATCCATTTGCAGGCTTCATTAACATAGACGAGATTTTCTTTTTGTTAAACGATTATATTTGCGTTTCAAATTAGACAACACATCTTTTAGGAACATTAGTTTGTTCTAAATAATATGAACTATAATTGCAACCTCACGTTTTATCATAAAACTCATCCAGTCGTGCATTAAAGAATGAATGCAATATTTGAGATACATATGTTGTTCTTGTCAGAGGTTTACTGCTTTCATAGATTTGGGGCTTAATGATAAGACTAAGTTTGTCTTCTTCTAGCCCCGGTCATGTAATTATTTTTTTTATAAGTTACGACTGTAAATTTTTTTTTATCGGCAAAAGTGTAAATAAATAAATAGAATCGAAAATCATAACAACTCTCTTGTTTATTATTATTACCAGTATTAGTTCTTGACAAGAAAACTTTCGTGTGGGCCATATATGGCAATTGCATTTTAACCATATATTTACCACTCACCTTTATGAGATGGCTTTGGTGCGTTCCACATGTTGCTATAATGTTTGTCTCACTAAAACCACACTAAATAGGAACAAAAACTACACCTAATTTTTGCGCGAAAGTTTCATGTGGCCCACGTGCGGTAAGCATATCTTAGCCATATATCATTAAGTACACATTCGGAATTAGATTTAAATACACTAAAAGTTTATTGAAAAATATTGACTTTTCAATGTTTAATTGTCTATGATGAAGAAAAGAAGTGTCTTCAAAGTTTGATTTAACATTGATGAACTTTTTGCAGAAGTCGTAAAAGTTTTTCAAAATTTTTTGGTTCTTTTCTTTTCAAAAAACCTGTTAATTTTTTGTTTTTTAAAATTTGAAAGTTTGATAAATCATTTTTTTTGGGGTAAACAAAATGGTAATCGTTGCAATTTTTTTAAATTTTCAATTCTTGTTGAAAAATCTAAAAAAACACCATTTGTTGTTGTTTTTGTTCTTGATATGTATTTTCATCATTTTTTTTTTTTAGTGAAATGGCATCCTAGATAATAATAATGTTGAATTTAAAGTAGTTTTATGAGCTTCTTAAAATCAAATTATTTCAGAAGCTAACTTTTTTAGCTTTTTAACAAATTAGCAAAATTAACGATAAATTGGGAACAACTTTGAATAACGCTGTTTTTTAAGTTGATTTAACGTTGAATTTTGCAACGTAAACCAACGTCGTAATTACGATTAGAGATAACATGTATATTAGTTAAAAATTATTATGCATTCGGACTAAAACCCAAATCACACGCTTCATAGTTTAACGCGCTTTCCACTACTCCGTGTTGTTAAGGCAATTTAAAATAATGTAGCGTCTGTATGACACTGACCAAAACAAAATATTGATAAGCTCTCTGTATTATGACAAGACGAAAAAAGTTAAAATAATGGAAATTTTAAAAATTTTGTCACAACATAAAAAATAAATGTTTGGTTACAAAAAACTAAGCTCAAAGGATCTGTTTTTTTTCCCGTTCTTTTTACAAATTTTCTAGTAAAACGTTGTTGAACATAATATATAATAACATGGAAACTTAAAGAGGATCTTAATATCCTTTTACCAAGAACTGCTTAACAATACAATAATAATAAATCAATTATTTCAAAAAAGCAAAATGAAAAGTAAATACTGTTTAAGAAAACATACATACAAATAAGATTAGGTATCTTAATTATAAAACACGGTTTAACAATACTATAAAACCCAGTGGGCATGCATCATCCGCAGGATGTCTCGCAGATGTTAAGACATCCATTAGAGGTCCGATAGACGCCCCCCGGACAACGTATGCCCACTGGGAAAGTACAATCAAATATTTTAAGTTACATTTTAGCAAAGAGAAACAAAATTAAAAGAGCTCGAATATATTATCTATTGAAAAAATATATTTTTTTTTAGTTTATTCATCTACTTTCTAAGTAGAAGTTTTTAATTTCGTAAAAATAGCAATTGCTTTTCCAGATTGAAAAAGATTTTAAATAAATACATTGTTAAGGTAAAATCTTAGTTTATTAATATGATCTGAATTAATTGTTTA